ACAGTCACCGAGCCTTCTATACCAGGGATAGGGACATTTTTTAAAAATCTCAACCTTCCGTACAAGTTGCACAATATTGCCAATAAATAGAAGCCAAGAATATGCTTAGAAAGTATGATGCTTTCCTGATAGCAACATTTTGTTATCTCGTTTCTTCAATGTAGATGTGTTAGGTATTGCATTTATAGAGTACTTCACAATGCAGTTTTTAGTGCAGAAACATACGTAAGACGATGTCGAATATCTGAAAAAACTAAAACTAATAAATTACCAATTTATATCGATAGAGCAATAGTTGCTTACGTTTATCCTCGCAATTAACTTTCATTTTCGATCTCGAAAGCTTTCATTGCTTCTTATTGATAGAGTAAAACAATAAGCCATCTCCAAGAGACAGCCCTTGCTCTTTGCATTTAAGATAAATGGCAACGTCGCCGTCTCCGATCCATTTCAATGAAGTACGATCTTTGACGTGTCATTCATGTGACTCTATTCGTATCGGGTAATCGTAATGTGAATACAAGTCTTGCTGCCAGTATGAAGTATTTGCGGACTCGTCTATACAATCTTCGCCGACTTAGTCTAATAGAAGATTGCAATAATGGTCTTACAATGACAGCTGATCAGCTCTATTTTATGGTGTCTCGTTATATACAACATTTGGAAATGGATCAACAGAGTTACTGGAGAATGAAAACGATTTTGAATCGACTGAACTTTTTGTCAACTATCACGTTTTACTGAACGCACCCATCAATCAATTATGAACTTATTGGTGAATTGCTCACGCAAAGGAAAAATGGGTGGATATATTATTGCAATTATTTCTATATTCATGTCTGGGTCGACCCAGACAAACAAATGCTCAAACAGATTCCATTTTATTGATAAATTCGAAATAGTAGTTATCTGAGTGTAGGTGTGGGCGAATAGATAACCAACACTCACACCCACGTGCACCCAAAAACACAGATAATATTCTTTGATTACTTTAAAGGTGCTCAATAAATTTATATTTTCAAACTTGTTTTTTTTTCATTTCGTAATAAAATTTATAACATTTCCAATAGATGAACATTTTCCTGTCAGGAATTTTCTCATTTGACTTTCTTCTGACATACTGTTTATCTAGAGCAAAATTATTTCGTATGTCTTTTTAATAGCACATTCCCTTCGTATTTTAGACATTGATCGAAAGAAAAATTCATGTCTATATCAATTAAAAGATTGTTTATGAATTCTGAGTTAATATAAGATATAAAAACCAAAACTTCATAGTATTTTTCTTTGGCAATAAAAACTACTTTTATATTTAGACTTTTATTGATGAGAAATATAGCTTTTTTTTCTATTGACAAATATCGAAATAATGAAAAATATATGAAAAGAAACAAATATAAATACTCAACAATTGTAACATGTAAATAATTTTTGTAACTATGACTTTGGAAAGTTATACTCAACCGATGTGATTGATATGCCGTGTTGAAAAACTAAATTTTCAAATTTTTTTATTCTTTGTTTACAAGGACAGCGAATATACTTATGTTTTACTATTTCTTGTATAATTTAATATAGAAATGCTTTGTTAGCAAAATTATAATTACATAGATTATACCAAAAAAGACAGAATGCACAAGGTTTTGTATTCTTTATGAATTAGGAGACACAAGTGAAGTGATAGAGTAGTGTAATGAATATATACAATGAGATTGACGATAACATTATTTATCGAATTCGTCATTGTTGGTTACAATGACATATGTATCAGCTACTTCACTCTCTAATTATCTTTGTTCTTACCGATTCATATTTAATTTCTTCTTCTTTCGTAAGATTTTTTTCCATAGTGTATCATGAAAATATTCAAATGTTTCGTAATATAATCATACTGTATAAGCATGGAATATAGGAATCATAAACGTCGGAGAACACATTACCGTATGATTTATAAATTCGTTCAACGTTATCTATCGTTTTCTTTTTCTTCATTTGATTTTCTCTTTATTCGTGCTACATTGTCAGTTAGCTCGAGTTTATCGGAAGCAGTTACAGCTGATATTCTCAAAAGTGTGATATGAGTTTCTGTTAGTGAAACAGGTGCAACAGTTAGCGACTCAACAATTTAAAGAGTTAATATAACTGTTGGAAATCAAGATAAATACAATTTTCAACCTACAGTTGCAAGTGCTACAATAAATGCAATAATGACAGTAGCTCAAGAAGAAATGAAAAATCTTATTTATCAGGCTAATGATGGAAAAAACAAAATGTTACATAATAAATCTAACAGAAAATTTGTTGGAGAGTGGATGTGAATGCAATTGCCTGTTTGAGCATCTCTTCTCTTTATCTACATCCACTTATCCACCTACAAACAATGATGCTTCTGTTTATTTAAAGAGTTTGCAACATCTCAAGAGAATACATTATATATATATATCGCTTTTTCAAGGATAGGTGGTTTCAGGTAAGATACTGCAAATACAAATAATCTCGTGTCGAAATCTTTCTCAGAAATACAGTATGCTGACCACGATTCATTCTCTGTGTGCACATGTATACAGTCGGTATTATAAGCCGCCGAGTTTAAACATATGGAAAGGTATAAACGAAAGTGTAAAAGTAGGTCTTGATGCAAGCGTGTATGTATGAGAAAGGGCGAGCGCCATCTTCAACACTCTTCTAGCGAGACTCTGCATGCTAAAAAAAACGATTCTTTTTTGTCAAACGTTCAAAAATTGAGTGGGCTAACTTCATCCTCTCTCTATATGACTTTATGCAATGTCGCAGTTCGAATTCGAAGTTCAAAGTTAATTAAAGCTTGCAATCATTACAGACGTAGCCTTTTTCATTGAAGTTGTGAGTGTATAATTCATTCGTTTTTTGTTATGAATTTTAGAGCGCACATTCAGAAATACAAACTTTTATTGGGTATTAACTGTACACACACAAGCTGTTTGCTGTTAAGCGTGACAAAAAATTGAGGATAATTACCATAGAGGCTGTGAAAAGACAGAGAGATTTTGACCTGTATGCTTTTGACGAAGAATAAAGTATTCATCCCTTCTCTGAGAGAGAATCAATCGTGTAAAAATGTCTTCATATGATCTGGATCTGTTTTCCTGAACAAAAATAAAAATTTCATAAAGAAAAATAAGCATAATTCATAAAAAAATTTAGCTTACTTTGCACAGGTCGTACCGTATTGGCAGATTCGCTTGCCAGGATGACTTTGACCGAAACCGCTCGAATGCGTGAATAGTTTACGATGATCAAGTTCAGTACTTTCAAAAAGCGGAAAACAAGTGTATTATTTTCTATCGCACGCTTCAATTCATCATAATCTGTTCTACTATATATTTTAAATAATTGACTTGTCGCTTTTAATGAATTTAGAAATCTTCTCAAAGAATGCATAATCAAAATCTTGAGGACAGAGCTGACTAATTGCCCTCTTACTCAATCATGGTCCGTCTTTGGACTCATCGTTATCATAATAGCTCGAAATTCAGATTGACGAAAATCTGGCATAATCAGCCCCGTATTTGCCATGAGAAATTCTAATGTGATTTGAAAATAGTTGTCTCATCTTTTCAGATTATCTTGTCTTCTAATTTCTAGTATGAAAATGTTACTAGTTCAATATACTTATTGCAGGTTACTCCGAAGCGACATGATTGTTTGGCTGAATAATCCTGATTCCAATTGTTTGGGTGTGAATACTTTTGTCGATGATTGATGTCCTTGCTGTAAAGGGAAAAAAAATAGTTTGTTAGCGTTGCCTCTCTGTGGCTGACATATGAAACTCAAATATTTTCTTTAGGTTGATTACTCTAATACGAAATGCACAAATTATAAAATCTCTCAAAGAATATACTTGTTTTCCTATGGTCATCAAATGTAAAAAAAAACTCTTTTTCTTATTTCTAGATTTCGAACAGAAATTGTTTTCTTCGTTTATTATATTTTTGATTATTGTAAGCACTGAATTAAATGGTAAATAAGACAGCTATTAATATTCGTTGTTTAATGCCGATTGTTCAGGTTTGTAATGGAAAGTCGAAAAACTTTGACTTAAAATTTACATTTACAATTTTCTTCCAAAAACATTTATGAGATACATAAAATAAGATAGCAGATCATAAACGGATTATTTCGCAATTATTTTGCTTCAAATCGATAGAACTGATACATTCATTAGTGAATGGTTTGATCACATCATTCAAGTATTTAGGTATTAGTTAAATCGTTATTTTAAAAGATGACTGCATACCGATAGCAATCTGCTCCATAGCGGCATTTTCCAGAAGAGCCAGTGGCAGATTGTTCTGAAGCATGATAATTCGAATCACCCGGATGTGCGTATTCTGCGCGATGAGCAGAGCTTTTCCTAAAATGTAGTGATATTAGCGATCATTGATGTTCTTATACAATGACATTTCTACGGAACCTGTAGCAATCTCGACCATATCGACAAGGTAAACGCGGTCCAGCTGTTCATATAAAATTGAAAAGAAAATTAAGTGCAGACTGGTATTTGAAGTAGTGTTTGGCAGCTTTACTTACAGAATCCTCTGCTTGACGATGAGCTAGATTCATCAGCAATATGATTGGACCGTGCCATTCCAGCTAAGAATAGTGTTACAAAACAATCTTTTGAATGAATTCATTAGAGCACAAACAATATAGTACACATCTATACAGCACAAATAGTACAAGATGCATTCCTTTTTCTGTAGAACTATAAATTTTGGAGATGTGATTATCTACTCGGAGTGGATATAAAAATGATTTCAACTATACATCCCTTTGGTTATGATTTATGTTGGAAGAGTAGTAAGTTTTTTCGAAGCAGAATACAGTGGTCCCTTAAAAGAACAGATGCCAAAGCTGTGCGTAGGTACCATCTCCTTCAATCATCAACATTGTAATCATACAGTTTTATTTGTGTATTTAGATAAAGCATGATTTGATACGAAAGAAAATCCTCTTCCTACTTATTTTTGTTCGTAAACTGTACATTCATAGTTATACTTTTCGATGAAAAGACAAACACAGAAACAAAAATGTTTTCTAAATTTTGTAAAATTTACAGATTCCGTGATTGGCTTACCTATACCTTGTTGAACATCATCAGGCACTATCATATGGCATACATCATCTACGGAACAAAATTTTTCATGAAGCGTTTCGACAATCGATCCAAATATTGGATGTGCCTTTAATTGCATGAGTGTTTCTTTTGCACTTGAACGTTCTTCAGGATTTTTCTTCAGTAGAAGTTCGATAATCATCTTATAGCCACCTTCTTCTGGTATAATGATATCTTTAGCACTACGATCATTACAAAAGTTTTCGTATTCAAACTGATCTTTCCATGGTAAAGCGCCACAAAATAATAGATAAAATAATACACCTGCTGCCCATGCATCAGATTTTTTGTGTAGATGCCTCGAAACTAAATTTTTTGAGTCACGCTTTAAGAACTCTGGTGAAACAAAAAAAATTGTATATGCTTTGTTAGCATCGACTGTAAGTTGCATACGTTGAGTATTCATTTTTTCGATCGTGCCAAAATCGATTAGTTTAATATGAAAGCATTCTTCATTGGCAACAATAACAATATTTTGTGGTTTAATATCGCCATGAATAATATTTAATTTTTCGAGAAATGTTAAAGCTCGTAATACATAAACAATAATAATTATACCAATAATCACTAAATGTTCAACTGTTTCATTGGACACTCGATGACACCAAAATGTTCCAAGATCACAAGAAGCTAATTCCATTGCAATATAAATGCCTTCTCTATCTATTTTACTACCATAAAATTCAATCACAGGATGATTATCAATAGGGACTTGTTTCATTAAGCGTAAAAAATTGATTTCATTTTTAATTTCTTCTTGTATGCTAAGTTTACTTTCCATGATTTTAATAGCAACCATAACGTTTTTATTTTTGACTTTTGCTTTATGAATTTCACCAAAGCCACCTCGACTAATAAATTCAACCATTTCATATGTAGTGCCTTCAATGTCAACTTCTTTTTTTTCTTCACGTATTTTTGTTGTATTCGTTTGTGTGTCGATGAGTACTAGTACAAATTTAGCCATTTGTGTAACGTCTGCTTCATGTTGCGGTTTAATTGTTTCCTGATTATCAGCAAATCGTTTCGCGATAGCTGTATTCTGCTTCATGGTCGTTTGCTGATCCTGCTGTATTGCATAAAACGTTTCTCTGGACTCTTTTGCTCCCATCGCTTATTGTAAATCGATTTAAGTAGTTAAAGAAAAATCTGAAAGGAAAAATATCAGATGAAATTAGCATGCGTACAATCGATAAGAAGAAACGGGTTAATCGAAAGAGTAGAATATTTCTATTCATTTTTAACATGTCTACATATATTTTGAAGAAGCTCAATATGATGAGTGGCGAACAAAATCTTTGCCCTTTTTTCTAATATGAGCTCGAGAACGATGCGTCTTATTTATTTTGACAACAGTAAGAGAATGTTCGAATATCTAAAAAAGCAATTATTTGGATAAAAAAATAGTTTTATTTTTACAACATTGAGTAGTCTGATAAGTTGAATGGGTGCTAGAGAAAATCTTTTCGTCCACTAGCCAAGTTAGTTTTTAGATCTTTGAAAGATTTTCTTAGTGCTCTTAAATAAAAAGAAAACAAATTTCGAATTTCATATTTGAGCAGACTGAGATTACGATCACCTATGTTCTTAACTTGTTCAATATTTGCTACCAGACCAAGAATGTGGAAAGGATTTGCCTCAAAGACTTGACCTATCGTTCGAGTTCATACTCAAAAGACGGTCAAGATTTTGGTCTTCAGTTATCGTTTTTGGCACGCCTAAAATAAGTTTAAGTTCTTCAAAAATGAGCGAAAATTTATCTTGGAATTTTCGAGCCACCCCTTCTTTAAAATAAAAAAAAAGAAAGCGCCAACAAGATGTTTTCTTCGTACATGTGATGTGGTTGTGGCGCAACGTAAGTGTAATGTGTGCTTTTGTATTTATTTTGCTTCGATCACGACGCTATAGAAAAGAAAGAAAAAGCAACCTCCATTGTTTCTTTGCTTTTTACCTTAAAAAAAAGCACAGATAACTTTTGGTGGCAAACATGTTGTGTTCGCTGTTTTGAAAGCGAAAAATTTTCGATGGGTGTGGATGTAGACAGAGAGAAGACATACATACACATACACACTTCCAAGTCTGCAGTAAAAGAAAACTTGGTCTAAAAACCTATAAGAGCAAGAAGAAATTAAATATTTTCATCTTGGATGAGGGTGTAGTGGGTGTGGGTGAAATCAATAGATTCATTCAGCCACCTGCGCGAAATATTCCCCATATAATCGTATTCTTTGATGAAACTCGAACCCTTGCTAATAAATCTTTCATAATCATATGTATTCGAGCAATATTATTGTAGATAATAGTCAAATCTGCAACATTTTGTGTGTGAGATTCAAGCATGACTCTGAGAACATTGCCATAGTGCTCTGATATTTTGAAATGCTCTTCCATTCTTTTGTATACTTGGCCAATGTCGGTGTCAATAGTAGTCGTATCTATCTAATATATCATTTCAACAATCCCTCTCTAGATAGTAATTAAGGATGTGGATGGGTGTGGGCCTGAATGAATCTATTGATTCCACCGATACAGCTTATCCTTGTCATCATAAAAACGTCACTTTTGATGATTTGTTTAATTATTCAAAAATCGTTGATTTTGCGACAACTTTTCCACCAATTTCAACAGTATGTGTTCTTATATCAAAATAAGTATTTTTTCATTTATTTAGATCTTTTGATCGTCTCAATAAGCATTAATAATTGCATTAAGAAAAAAGTTTTAACATTATTTGCTATTAATGGAGAGACAGGAATCATCTCTCCTCATTCACGAGAAGTATATGTGAACATGATGGAAAACGCGGCTAGTATAGAACTTGAAACGTAGTCATTGTCGTAGATCCAAATATTAGGATAAAGTCGAATCATCGAAAATATTTTTTTGAATAATAACGATTTGTAATGAAAACTGACAAAAAAAATTCGATTTAGGCAATTAATCATGATATAATCTAACAACTAATCGAGCTATTAAAGCACGGTAAAATGGTCGATTTTTGCATGAATTTGATGACAAACTATCCACACCGAGAGAGTAAAAAAATGGCAAAAAACGATGTAATTTACATCATTTTTTATGTTTTTTTTTAAAATTAATTCATGAAAAGGATAAAAACAAGAGCAAACCTTTTTTTCATCTGAATTAATTACCTACCTGAGTAGGTAGTTGTTCCCAGACTTTTATACAAGTCTGAAGTGATTGTCTCTATTAAAAATACTTCACAAACTTTAGAAAAAGTAGACCATAACATGGCCTCCTATCCTAAGATATTCTGTTTGTTAAGAAAGCAGTATGTATAAGAACTAATTCGTAGATAAGATTCAAATTAATCATTTCCATCATTTATTTTCAAAAGAAAAACCGTGATACATGATGTTTTTCACACTGAAATCGTTCATGAAAATTCTTTTTCTTAGAAAAAGTTTTAAATTTTTTTAATCATTTGAAATACGATTGAAATTGAATGTTTTAAATGTAAAAGTAATGAAATTAATCTACTGATTTGTATTTCGCAAAAATATTCGATATTCTCAAAAGTATAAGAATTATCTAGTGAAAATATTGTAGAAAAAACGAAACTAATGTAATGATTTTGGTGTTTCTGAAATAACTAAAAACATGAAATTTTTCGTATGAAAACTTCAAAATAACTATTTAGATAAAATTTCTTTGATTTTTAGGGCCACTGAGTTCTTTCTACATAATATGACGACGAAAGAAAGAAAAATGATGATGCTATATATTCTTTATTGTTTCTTTTCTATAGAGTATTTTCAAATACGACCAGTAATTATTCATCTAAATTATCGATTGAAGAGAAGAATTAAGAGATATAATACTGAAAAATCACAAGACATAACAAAATTAAAACAAGATATTCTTTATTATTAAAATTATTTTTTATATAAAGATGATCTATTTTTTTCTGTACTTTTTGATCTTTAAAGAATTTCTGTAACTTTGTTAGTATTCATTGAGATGTTTTCTTTATTCAAAACGATTCAATTTGAGTTTAAGACGAAAATTAGCATCAATCTATATACATATAATGTTCAGTGTTTGTTTGTCTATGTGCATGTGCTGGGTTAAAGGTTAAACTATGAGACTACAAGGGTTTAAGGGTATTAGAGGGAAAGGCTATAAGATCTATGTATATATATATATAATGCGAAGCGTCTGGCTGTCTGTTATCGAGTGAAGTTTAAAGCACAGATGTGAAACTTTACAGGAAAATAACAGCCGTGCAGCATGCACGGAATCTCACTAGTTGAAATATATTTCTTAGTTAAATTCTTTTGTATTTAAAAATAATCCAAGAATAAATAATCATGTTCATTATATAAGTCCAGTATTGTTCATCTATTTCTTCCCTTATCTTTGACAGAAAGATCGAATTAAATGTATTAAAAGAAATTTCAATAATTTTGAGAAATACATATCGAAATAAGAGCAATAAATCCTCTCTCCGCTAGCAGAGCTGTAAATTGGTTTTATTCAGAAGGAGGAAGCAAGTCATCCTTTAGGAAGAAAGTGACTATTTCTCTGTGAAAACATAACTGATTTGGTCATCAGCACCAGAATCCTTTTCCATAACTCCTTAGTAACGAAAAAAGTCACTGAAAAAAAACATGAATACTAAAATCTAAACGATTCTAGCTAACTCTAAACTATTTCAAAGCCCTCTTTAAATTTAAATAATAGGATGCATTCTTCAATATTGTAAATAGACTACTTTCAGATTCTTTTGTGCAAATAAACGATTATATGATAGATATCAGATGTAATAGCTAATAATATGTTGTTTCGCAAAAATCTTCATATGTCCAATACAAAAGAAAACCGCATGAACTGATCAAGTTGTAACTTTCAAAAACAATGAATAATGATATTTCTCAGTTTATCAAGATACACAATGACGCATTAAGACTTAATATAGATATAATGAGTGCCTACAATAGACTTATTTGTCAATTAAATTAGTAGATAGAGTAATTATACTAATAGTGAAATTAGAACAACGAAATAAATAATAAAGCGATAGTAAAAAGAAAATTGTTCGAAGCGCAGAATTAAATAAGATGGGATCGTCGCTCCGACAATCGATTACTCTTGAAAAGCAGCTATCATCTGTTAAATATTATCTGATTAATGCATTTGGCATAAACATAATGAAACTGAAGAATATACGTGAGTTCTACATTTTAGCCGCAATAAGGAATGCACCCGTAAGCTTTTGAAATAAAAAATAAAGTAATCAAGCATTTTATGTGGAATTAGTTTGATTGTGAAAGCGTAAATTTGAATTTTTTTTTTTAGGATTTTCAAACGTATGGAGGCAAATCTAAGGTCAAAAATGTACTCAATAGATAGATACTATTGGATCGTTCCTAGACAAATTCTTTAAGATACCTAGGAATTATTGTTAGTAATAGATTCACTTAAAATGAACAATTTCTTTCGTTTGAAAAAAAAAGTCTTATGAAATACATTAATGAATAGATTAATAAAGCCTTCGAATGTTTAGAATAAGAATCTTTATTAAAAGTGATTTTTTTTGTCAAAAAAATATTGAAAATTATTTTCTAAACAAATTTGTTTTAGATTGAACATTACTTATAAAAAGAGAAGAAAAATGCTTTTCGAAAAATTTCATATGATAATAAATATTTTACTAGGTGAAATAGATTTATAAAGAGATTTCATTAAAAATTTCAAAATTCATTTGATATAACCATTTTATCAATTATTTATTTTGACTTCAATAAATCTAATAAAAGAAAATGATCTTTGGAATTTTTCATTTGATTTAAATCATTTTAAAAATTTATTGAAAAATAAACAAATTAAATTAAATCAAATAAATAAATGTGATTCATTTAAAGAAGCTATTATTAATGAAAATTATATTCAATTAGATATTAATGAAACTTATTTATTTAAACTTGCCGATCTTTCTTTAAATTACATTGATAGTTTACACTGATGGAAGGAAGATTCTATTTATCAAATTATTCCATCATCTTTTCAGTATTCGAATAATGATGGATTTGGAGATTTAAATGGTTTAAAATAAAGATTAGATTATATACAACAATTAGGTAATATTTATTTAATTAGCAAACATGACTTTTTCATCTCGAACACTTTCTATCGTTACATCGAAGGAGATGACGTTAAGGGTAATGAATTTCAGCAAATTTAAGAAATTGATTTTCTATATGGATAACGATTCTAAGAATGTATCATTCGAGACTCAATGTCAGGAATTTAATTATTTTTTCTTTTAAAAAAATCAAATTTATAGTAAATTCGAGAAGAAGACTCGGTTTTACTGGTTTAGGCTCTGATTGAGCCTGAGTGTGACAGTGCTCTAATACAGAACGTAAACCATTGTTCCTAAATTAACGAGCAAAAAAAACTTAAAAATGATCTAATACTCATATTCTCTCTTATCTGGTCAATATTTAGTTAATTCAGAGAAATGAAAGCAATTTGGTTAACATCAATATATAAAACTCCATTTCGTGATCTTGGTTATGATGTAAGTGATTTTTGTTCAATTGATCCTCGTTTTGGTAATTTTGATGATTTTAAATCATTAGTTGATGATATACATTCACATCAAATGAGATTAATTCTTGATTTCGTACCAAATCATTGTTCTTCGGAACATCGATGGTTTCAAGCAGCACTTAAAAATGATTCACATTTTGTTGATTATTCTATTTGACATCCTGGAGAAAATCATGATTCATCTATTCCACCAACAAATTGGGTTGGGTATGCTGGACAACCAATGTGAACTTGGTCACCTGACAGAAAGCAATAGATTTTACATCAATTTATGGATAGTCAACCTGATTTAAATTTGCGAAATGAAAATGTTTGTCAAGAAATAGAAAATATTATGAAATTTCGATTAGATTTAGGTATTGATGGTTTTCTAATTGATGCTGTAAGACATTTATTTGAAATTCATACGGAAACAGCTAATCATCCTGATAATTATAAAATGATTATTCGATGGAGACGTTTTATAGAGATGAATATATTAGAAAAAATAAACGTGATTATATTATATTAATGACTGAGGTATCGTTTTATTATTCGAACATTTATACTTCAATTTTGTGCCGTCTATATATAACATAAGCTACTCTTCTATGCCTTTTCCATTAGAAAAAAATTTCTATAATATTAATATTGAAAAAATGTTATCCAATGAAATTTCAATGGAATGATAATCTATTTTTAATTGTTTAATTAAGAATCCTTATCATCTGTACACAGAAATATGATATATTGTATATTCATCATGCTTGTTATTATTTATTTAGACTCAAGACAAAAATGTTGATGTCAATATGCCATATTATGGATTAAATCGTTGGTCGAGAGGACATGAGATGGTTATTAATTTTTTTATTGCCTATTTTCTTGGAGAAAAACCAGAAGATCAAACGGGAGATGGCTTAGCCAAATTTACTGAATCATGGTTATCAAACTTGCCAAGTGGTGCATGGTCTACATGGATATTAAGTTCACATGATAGTAAACGTTTCAAACAATAAAGAATTTTCTGCAACAAGATCGGAAATTAGTGTGCATATAAAGAACGAGACTTTTGCGACTCATCATTCTTAAAGATCTTAATTAAAAACTTAGTGATATCTATCTTCTTTTCTTCTAAACATGTGATACGAGTACCCATGAAAATCAACTCTACTTCAAAATTAATTTCACATACACACATACACAATTAATCAGTGTTGAATTTCTATGGAGAAAGTTCTTCAATCATTAAGTTGTTTTCTACAGTATATGAAATGAGACTTTGATATGAGCGAAACGGAACTGAAAACGAAATTAAAAGAACACTAACTTTACTGGTGGAATATTGATAAAAAAAATGTTTTGAACTCTCTCTTAACAAAACTTATGGTCACTCTGGAATATTACATGAATAGAAGAGTAAATAGTAGTTCGAAAACATAATGATGTAAGTCTCTCGTTGCGAATAAAAACAGGTCTAGTTTTACTTGACATTTTAATCCCAGAAGGCTTAAGCTAACAGTCTTTTCCACAGCAGTGTCACGTATCCAGGAAATTGGGGATGCTGGAGAAGTGTAGAGAAATGCGGCATCTCCCGTCTGAGTCCTAGGCTAAAACTCAATAACAAATTTCCATTGGGAGATGCCGATGCGGGAGATGCCGCATCTCATGTAGAGACGCCGTATCTACCGCACTTCTCCACAGAGAGATACGGAATCTCCAACATCGGCATCTCCCAATGAAAATTTGTTATTGATTTTTAGCCTAGGACCAAGACGAGAGATGCATCAGCTCCAAGCATATTTCCCCAGGAGACGCGGCATCTCTACGCATATCTTTCAAGCGACGATAAGTGAGGAAACACGCACAGCCATATCTCACAAGTGTGGGTGAGGGAGAAAAAACGAACATACACAGACATATTCATAATGTAATCCTCTATTAATAGTTAGTTTGGCATCTCCCACATCTCCCTGCACTTCTCCAGCATCCCCGATTTTCTGGATATGTGGTACCTCTCGTTTTCCAAAATTTAATATTTAAAAGACTAGAAATGATTTGTTTTTATGTAAAAAAAAAACGTTTGATTAACTTTAGGTATGGAAAATCTTCAATTTACAAAAGAAATGCGTAATGAAATAGTTGATTTATCTGCATTTAATTATTGTGTTAATAATGAGCCAAAAATTGAAGAACATATTCGTGATGGTCAACGAACATCAATGCAATGGAATTCAACTGAAATAAATAGTAGATTTACAAATGCATGTAAAGCATATCTTCCATTATCAAAATCATGGAAAACAATAAATATTGAAAATCAATTAAAAGATTCTCGTTCTCGTATCAATTTATTTAAACAATTAATTAAACTTAGAGAAAATCCTTCATTCTATGGTGGAAAATATAAACTTATTTTAGCTAATAAACAAATATATTCATTTATTCGATGGTTAAATAAATCAATATCTATTCCAATTTATCTCGTTGTTATTAATATGATTGGGGCTAGTAGAAATGATCCAGACAATGAATATGTTAAAATTGATTTTATTCAATTATTAAAATGTAAAAACAAAAAGATTCTCAAGGCAAAGTAATAGCTCGATCATCTAATACTAAACATGATTTATTATTATCGAATAAAGAAAATTAAGTTGATTTAATTAATATTTGTTTATATTCAAGCGAATCAGTTGTTCTACAATTAATGTTAACCATGGATCATATTTGTTTATGCTCGTCATAGAGATTACAAATTATATATATATATATTTTTTTTTTCTATTGTTTCTTCTTTTTTTTTTGTTTGTTAATATTAATCAAGCTATTATACTTGTCTATTTGAATTAAACAAAATAAAAATCTCATTTTAATTAACGATTAAAAGAGTATTTTCAACCAGTCTAATAGATTGGATATAAACATATTGTTCTATCGAGAAAAATGTTCTTATTTAACAAAGACATATGGATATTGAAGTAGTATAAGATATTTTTATGAAATCTAATTAAATTTTTAGCTTTGATACAAGTAATGAGCTTTCAATTTCATAAGCAATATCTATTCTTTTTTTCTTTTAAATAAATAACAAATTCATTGAAGTTAAAAAAAAATATATTCACTCCAAAGCAAAAATAAAATATTCAATTTATGAGTAGTACAGTTTTATATGCCTTATGTTTTATATGAATTATATAGTGAATTTATATATACAACTTTTTCTTTTTCTTAATATGTGTATATAAATGATCTAATCTAGTTGAATATCTAACAGAGTATCTAATTGTTAATGATAGTATAATGCATATGATAGTGATAACGATATGTAGTAATATTAATGACGACGAAGATTGATAATAGTTATATGGATGGTAATAATAATAATAACAGTAATATATATGTTATTTAATCTAGTTTTAAATCTAGAGCTTTCGGGTCCCAAGATCCATCATTGGTAGTATAATGATGTAAATATAACTATAATTATGATGAATAAATAAATAAATAAAAAATGCTTCGCCTATGAATTCTGTAATTATCAATGTACATATATATATATATATATCCAATAAGGCAGAGAAGTTGGTTGGTTTTAAACTTTTGAAATAAGAAATAGACGATGTTGGGTAGCTGTGATGATATGAAGTGTTTTCTATGTATATGTGTTTATGAGTGGTGCTAGTATTTGTTTTCGAAGCATTGATAGGCGTCTCAATATGAATTTAGTGGTAGGAATTTGCAGGAACAAGGTTCATGCTAATGACTAGGCAGAGTTCGATATGGCGAAGAATGATGGTACTTTACAGATGAATTGGTCAGAGTTATGGTTGTTTATGCCGAATGAATTAGATGAGTTCATGGAACATGTTAATTGTCTACTGTTCTCTGTTGAGGTCCGCTTTTTATATGTGTTCGGACGCAACTGGCATAGTTTTTTGTGAGAGGTGATGATTCCTCTTTTTTATGCATTGAATAAAAGACGATGTTGTTGATGTACAAAAAATAGTTCTTATCAGAATGTGCTTTTGCTGCAAGATGACAAGTAATAGAGGGCTAAGGCTATTCAAAGTGGCAGTCTACGTATTGAAAAAGAGTGATGATGCGATTATGTGTATTAGCAACTGGGGTTACGTCTGACATTATAATTAAGTTTGTTGAAACATCATCAGATGGGATTTATATTGAAACTGCTCGCCCAGAAGCACAATATAAAGGCAAACGGCTCTTAAACGATGATTTCACCTGTCAAGAAGAGAACGCCACATCACATACACATCAGGAACCATCGGTATATTGTGAAGAAAATTGTATGCATTTTATGAGCAATTACAGATGACCATCCAATAGTCCTCATCTCGATGTCGTGAGTTATCAAATATGGGACGCTATTACAAATGATATGAAATGAGATAGATGAAAACTGTATTTCAATAATCGATGATGTAATATAAAAAAGAAATTGATGGATTATCGGATATTAAGGTCATTTGCAGCGTCGAAAATTTCGCGTGTAGCAAATTGTTCTATTTATAAACAAAAGGTATACAATTAAAATAAGTTTTACATTGTAGATTGTAGAATTTTGCACGGTATATCTTGTAGTATAATTTTTTATGTTAATAAAATGTATTTAGAGAGTAAAAAACAAAATGCAAAGTGCTGCTATTTGTTATGAGTAACACATACATTTTGTTCTTGTTGAGGACTATTTGACTTGATAATTTGTTCTGTTTTACTCTTCAGAAAACACATAAAGCGGTACAAGGGTGTCAGTGCCGTTTATATTCGGTCTTCTGGAACGAATTTCAATTGACTTTTTGATCAGTAACCACCGGTAAGGTGTTTGATCACGATTTAAAATTTTTATGTCTTGAAAATTTATCGAATGACCGATGTTCTTCACATGCTTGCCTAAAGTGGAATTCGGTTTATAGTGAGATAGATCATTTTAATTATTTTGAATTTGTGATTCAGGTTGGTTTCGTTTGTTCAATAGTCTGCTGTTGCGGCGTAATTGTTGAGTTAGGTATAGAGTGGGTGTGAGTGTCGTGTCTTTCCCTCAGAAATATGACACCTACACCCAAAGATGCCTTTCTTTCTCAAATTCCGACCTTAAAAGTTTTTCAAAATAAAAACTTATCATTTGAGATTAATATGGCCTTCCGTAAGTTTCGTCTTGGGTCTACACTCTGAAGCTACGATCCAGAATACTAAAAAATCCTGGTTCCACCACTATTCAAGAGAGTAAATCCTTTGATTCCTATTTGTCTTGAATAAAGGTTATAAATAAGATAAGTTCTTAACATTGATTATCTATTGTAGTTTATCTGATTTAGGTGCAACTGTTGCAGTACCACTGGAGTTTATCGGTTGCAAAAAATTGTTAAACCTGAATTCGGCCAACAGAGAATTTTTGTACTCTGACCGAATCCACTTGCGAGACTCTATTTGCCACCTTGATCATATCAGAAGTGCGAAAAATATTTCAAAAATACAGCAGTGAAAGCTTCTGTTTTCTTTTGTTGAGATTTCAAAATGAGTTGAATTTGCATCCAATTTGAGTGTCAATCCATGGTTATCTCAGTCAGAATAGTGGTGAATGTGATGGGTTTAATTTAATTGTATTAATTTAAAACGGTGATGAAGAAGAATCTCTCGAAAACTTCTACGAAAGCAAATAAAAGTACGGTTGTAATAAACATTTCTGGTGTCTATTTATGGATCATTGATTCATTTCAATTGCAATTCACACCCAACTTAGCAAACTAGAAAGGAGTTCACGGAACTTCTATAGATAAGATCTTTGAATTGAATTATCTGTCTTAATAAAAAAAAACCAGAGCAATGTACAAAACAAAAAACAATTGACTGAAGTTTGTTTTCTATAATTAAATAGTAAAATGGCATTCACGAATAATAAAAGAGTTGTTTATTATTATTATTATTATTATTTCGGTATTGATTCAAAATGTTTAGGTGAATTTACTGACGTAAAAAAGTATGGATTTTGTTCAGTAGGACATTTTAAATTTTCTCCTTCATGCCAACTCCATTGTTTTTCTCCAACTGGTTCAAGCATATTATTCCATAAAGATAAAGCTGCACGAGCATGACCTTTGCCTTCAATATAAAAAAATAGTATTTAATAATAGAAAAAAAACAATCGATATATATACATATATTTAAATAAAAACTTACCACTAAAATGAAAACAATCGGGAGCAAAATAAGTGAAATCAATATCTCCACCGATTAGTCTTGGAAGTGCTGTTTTAGCCATAAATGGCTGAACAACAACAGTAAAATCATCACGTGTATCATAACAACCTGAGTTAACAAGATTAATGGACATATTATGATATGATTGAATCCATTCACTTAATGTTGTTGCTTGGTCTTCAGTTGGAAATGCAGCACATGGACATGTTTTTTTATGAAGTAATTTACAAACAGGACCACCTGCATTAAGTAATTCAACTCCACGAACATCAAGTACAAGAACAAGATTAACAAAAGCACGTGGAATATTTGCATGAAGATAATCTAATGTTTCAGTTACATATTTAGTAAAATTTTTTGGACTATGTTTATTTAAATCATCACAAAATATGCATAAATCATTTCCCTAAATTAATTTATTTTACTCAGCAAAATAAAAGATTTTCTTAGATTTACAAAACTTACACCAATAAAGAATGTAATTATTTTCCAATCATTTTTTAAATCACAATATTTACCGGACTTTAATCGGTCAAGAAGAATACGAGCTTGATCAATCATATGATAAGAACGATCACCAGATTTTGCTTCAAATTTTTATTTAAAAAAAAAAAAACTTAAAATTAAAATTTTCATTAAGAATGTTCCATAATAACTGACAAGAAATTATTAATCAGATTTTTCATACCTTTCGTTGATGCAGAATGTTGAAACTTTAATTATATCTATACCGATTTATTATTTTTAATATTTCAATATCTTACCTCTCTAGTTAGAATTAAAGTCAAAATACATAAACAAGATAGAATTGCATCATTATTCGTCATTACTATATGCGCTGCTCAAAACAAAATCAATGATGCTTGTTATTTTTACAGAATCTCAAGAACACAACGAGCTAGTGAGCTGTGTTATTTAACCGGTAAATTTTAAATAAATTCTATTTTGTAAAAAATCAACTTTAAAAATACTATAGAATTTTGAAAGCTTCATAAATCGTAATCCGAATTTCAAATTTTTCAAAAATGGTCGATTTTTTGTTTAATAGAAATTCATTGTTGAATTCGTATGAACATTTCTAAAATAACCTTTGCAAATTCATATAAGTATTTTCTATTTCACTGTGTAAGACGGTTGATTTTAGCTAATAGACCTCTGATGAATCTAAAAAGCAATTGGACAAGAGAAATCCATCACAATGATGAGGAAACGACCGATAGTGAACTTCATCCGTTGACCTCATTTTGGATTAAAAAGCTGGTACTGGTGAGACTATCAAAAGTCTCACAAGATTTCTGTGTATAAGTCTTTGAAACTGAATTGTAACTGTTTTATTGAATATTCCATCGAATGTTAGGTAATCGCAATGAAGTCAAACAAAAAAAGTTCACATGTAAAAAGATCGAGTGATCTTTAGAGTATCTTGAAAGTTTCCATCGAAATAATGTAACTTGGTAGGAGATCTTCTATTTCAAAAACTAATTGCTTGTTCAGCAGTGTCACATATCCTGCAATTTGGAGAAGTGCTCACATCTCTGCCCGGAGATGCTGCATTTTCAGCAGGAGATGCAGCACCCAATGTGAGGGATGCACATCTCTCAATGAGATGATACATCTCCAACAGCAAATCACCGCATCTCCCGAGTGTGGGTGCCGCGCCTCCTGCGGGAGATACCGCATCTCCTGTGGGAGAAGTGAGCACTTCTCCAAAATCTTGGATATGTGACACCACTCCTGATTAATAATCTCTCGTTAGTTATTATGGAACATCTGCAACATATTAATAAAATTCTTACCAACATTAAGCTGATTATGTGATGAATTTTGACCTTTAAGAAAAATAACTGATGTTTTTGTTGAATAACCTTTTAATTGGCTATTATATTCCCGAAGAATATTCGGTAATGTAAAAACTGTACTAAATGTATAATCACCACCAATTGACCAAGATGCACCTATTAAGATTATTTATTCATTAATATATAAATCTTGAAATAAAAAAGAAGTTACATGATTACCTCGATTTTCAGTAAATAATCCAGCTGGTGTCACAGCATGAGCTCCTAAACCAGCTGTTAAACTGTCACCTAAAGCTGCAACACATTGAATATCACTTGGTCGAAGTTCATGCACTGTTTTTGGATTATTATTCCTTTTAGTTTTTGAAATAGGACACGGAAATTCACTTGGTGATCTGCCATATATATAATCGGGTTGAGAAAATAATTTAAATGACCATTCAGCATAGTCTTTAACGAAATTTTTATCACGGCTAAGCTCATCAATCAAATCTATATATTCAGTTACATTAAATGAATGAATATTTGTAATGGCCAAGATCAATATTACCAAGCATACGTGTAAAGTTCTCATGTATTTTTTATATTGGTCTTTTCAAATACGCTGAATGTAGTTGTTTTTTTTCTTTGTGAGCTTCCTTTAAAAGGATATGAAATCAAATACTAGATAAGAATGTCACAAGATGTAGTAAATATGTGATGGCTAGCGTTCACATGCTTATTATGCAACCAGTTAAAAAAACATCCAAAAGAATGACGTTCTTTTTTTATAAAGATAAAGAACAAAATAAGATTAGACCGAAGAAAAAAAACAATATGGTAACTTTTGCTCTTAGATTCACGACGAACTATCAGTACGCAACTTAAAGTCCTTTATTTTAATAAAAATTAGATCAAACCGAAATTAACACAGATTATTAGGAAAAAAACAACAGACTTTATCTCTGTTCAAAACATATTCTCAATCGAATGGAATACTTTCTTAATTTATTTTGAAATAAACAAATTTAACTAATATTGCATATTGAAAATAGAAACGATTTGTTGTTCTTCAACAGATAGATAAAAATTTTATAAATTACAGTAATTTTAGACTTATTAGCATCGTCAATATTAATATTCAGTTGATCGAAGGGTGTGGGTGTGGATGTGGATAAAAAGAAGCCCCACACCCATACCCTTTGACTGCCGACATAAGAGGAAGAAATGGGTTTTCAAAAAAATCTATTGATTTTTCTATGGAACGATTGTATAGCGTGCTTTAGCAAAATGGTGATTTGCAAAGCACATGGCGCATAACGTTTGTTTTTAGGCAAGTGCTTGTAAAAAACATACATTATAAATGATTACTTCAGTTCATGCAAAGATGAGGTTTCCGACATTTATAAACGGCGGCGGCCAAAGGATTAACAGAAAGAAGACGGGATGTTGCATGAAGCAGTAGTGCAGTTATCTTATATTGCTTTTTTCTTTCAAATATTTACGGCTAGTATCTCCCTTTTTGTAAATGACGAAGATATGAGTGTTCTATTTGCCCACACTTATACCGATAAGTATGTCGTTGGTCAAAAAATTATCGTCGACACAACATATAAAAAAAGGTGTGGACATCGGTGTGGGTGTCGGTATGGATATGGGTGGGAACGCATTTCTACCCACACACCCACACCCACACCCAACTATTTACGAAAAAGATAGTGATGTGATACTTGAGATATGGAGCAAATGACAAGTTTTATTTGCAGAAAAAAAAGAAAAAATATTCAGAATTATTAGATGATATTCTTTTTAGACGTAGGACATCGGGCAATGTTGAATTGTGTAGGATTGGTATGTAGATGTTCATGTAAGTGAGAAGTCAAAACATACATTCCCACCCATCTTATCGCTACGAGTTACGATGCTTGTTCATTCATGATAAATGCATATTAAAGATTTTTTTTTAAAATTATTGTAGTAGTCCTCAAAAGTCGTCAATCGAGGATCATGAGGCTCCAAAGCACGAGTGGCAAGGTCAAGTGCCTTCTGTATATGAAAGAATCCTTTTCCATATTCTTGAAGAGCCTTCTGTGTGTATGCTATGTTTACATGGGTATAGGCCAAATCTAGATGATCCATACCAAGAAATTTTTATTCGATTTCACGTGTTTTATGAAAAAGTGATAGCTCCTTCGAGTAATCTTGCATAGAATAGTAAGTGATACCCATGTTATTATAGACTTTCGCCAACTCTCGATAGTTGAGAGTAGTGGAGTTCTTGTGAATATTCAACGCCTTTTCGTAAAAACAAATTGCTTTTGAGTAGAATGTCTTTTTGTGATAATATGTCCTGAGGTTGTTGTAACTTGTAGGTAACGCTGGATGATCGGAAGAAAGTTTCTTTTTTCGTATCTCAAGTGACTTTTTTAATAATGATCCTGCGTTCGAGTAGTACTTTTTTTCTAGATACATGTAACCAAGATTGTTATAAGTCATGGCTAAATTTAAATGATTAGAAGGGAGATAGCTTTCTTCAATTTGTCGTGCTTTCTCATAGTATGAAAGCGCTTCGTTGACTTTCTTTTGAGTTCAATACACTTCGGCGATGTTATTATAAGTGTTGGCAAGATCTGATTTGTTGTGAAGAGGACGCTTTTCTTGTATTTTTTGTGCCTGTCGAAGATATGAAAGTACTTCTGAACAGTTTCTCATTTCTAGATACGAGCGACCAATGTTGTTATAAAATCGAGCCAATATGGGGTGAGTGGAAGGAAGAGTTTTTTGTAGAATTTCTAGAATTTTTTTGTTCATAGATAATGCATTCAAATAGTTTCTCATTGAAACATGTGTTGAGGTAATATTAATTTCAGTCGCGAGCAGCTTCATATGATTTGGAGGTAGAGTCTTTCGCCTGATTTCACGTGCATTTTCATATAAAGAAAGTGCCGTTGAATATTCACCCATCAACGTATGTACTGAAGCTAGATTGTCGTAGATAGTAGCCAACGTGGGATGCTTGGGGGGAAAATATTTTTTTGCGAGTTCAAGTGCTTTTTCATAAGTTAATAGGGCCTTCTGATAGTCCCCTCTTGATCGATAGATCCCAGCAATGTTGCTATAACTAACAGGTACCGAGGGATCATTTGACGGAAGACTTTTTTCACGAATTTGAAGTGCTTGTTGATGAAACTGAAGTGCCTTTGAATAGTTTTCCATCATGTGACAGGTTTCACCTATATTATTATACGTGACAGCTAGCTCTGGATGTGTTGGAGAAAGATATCTTTCTTCTATGTCGGCCGTTTTCTTAAAGTATGACAGTGCAGTCTTGTAATCACCATTGCTGTCACTGATCGATTCCAGCTGATTATTTATCATCAGATGTAAGTTCAAGCAATTTTAAATATATTTCTTTTGCTTTCTCGATTTCATTCATGAGGTTCATCAAGTATGCTAATCGATAATGTCCAGTTCCTTCTTCGATCTCTTTTCGGAGAGAATCGGTGACAAGCTTTAACTGTTCATCATTATCTTCAGTCGATTTCAGCTTCACTCTCCACAATTGATTGTTAATTGAGTTCATCTCACCGTATTCGAAAGACGGCATCCATCGAGAAAAGGATTTCTGCTTCTTCGACATAATGGCTGATATTCTTCAATTGGGCGAACGCGTGGATGAAATTGAAGGATCGATTTCTATTTCGAAGAGAATCCCGGTCATATTGGCTTGCTGTATATGACTTTCCACAAACGCCAATGCTACTGCTTCATCATCGCTTGTAGACAAGAAAATGTTAAAAGACAATAGACCACCCTTGTTATTTCTCATTTTCTCAAAGTCAGTATTTAACATCGCCTGTCCACGATAAACAATCAATCGTGCTGAATCGATTGAGTTTAATTATAATTGTTCGATCTGTCAGTAAAGATCTCGAATAAAGAATCCCATCTATATAATAATGTTAATGTTTTGTGTTCGCAATGCCTCATTTTAAAGTTGAATAGATAAAATAATGTTTCGTTTAGTAGTTGATTGACGAATCACAGTTATAATTTTGTTTAAATTCGTCGATCTGTTCTAATTGTGTATTAATGTCGTCAGCTCGATGACGTAAAACTTCAACTAATTCATTCATTTTCTCTTCTCTATTGCTATCTTCCGTTCTCAAAATAATCTCCTTCAACAGTTGAGAATACATGAATCAGGGTTGGAGCCGGACAGTTTTTTTCTATCCGATCCAGTCCGGCCAGTAACCGGTCGGATGAATTTTACAGTCAAACTGGTAAAAATCCGGTGAAAACAACCGACCATAAAACTATCTATTCATGTATAATGATGGTGAAGGAGAATTGAATATTCATGTACAGAAATCCGAATTAGGAATAATCAACTTACATTTACCAAAATTTGAATAAATCGAAAAATAAATTTAAAGAATTAAATTGATTTTCAATTTAAATTGAACTTATATACATTAAAATTTTTCAGATTTATTTAAACCTAGTTAAAACCAATATAACTTCAATTGAAACCAAATAAAATTCAATTAAAATTCATTCCGTTGGATTTAAATCCAATTAAATGGGTGTGCGTTGAATTTAGATTGATTTAAACTGGATTTGAGTAAATTTACAAGGTTTAAATAAATTTAAAACAAACTTCAACTTACATAATTTACATTTAAAATGAATTTAAATTTTTATCTCTAAAAAATTTTTATTTATTTTAAATTTAACTTCGCAAAGTTTAAATTTGAAATAAGTTAACAGGCGATTGCCACCCCTAATCGAAACTGAAAACTAAAACTCGGGAAGGAAACTATCACCATCATATTTTATAGCAAGGTGCGTGGACTTTTCGAGCCCAATATCTATATAAGTTAGCTACTCAGATTAAATCTGTTTTTTTTTTCATCTTAATTTCAAAAAAGAGCCAGTTTACAATGAATCTAGCACAACAGTGTAAATATTTATTTTTCGTGATTCAGGCAGTTGTCTAAGTAGAATAACAAAAACAAATTATATGATGCAGGTTAATTTAAGCGGTACGTGAGAAAGTATTCGATAAAGATATAACGAGAACAATGAACTGTTTACAGTTAGGTGGATGGCACAAAGTTCATCGAGTCTTTTGCAAACAGATTCTTCTGACGTGAAAATATCATAAAAACACCTTTTTCAGTAGAGGAAATTCTTGGACACAGGCAACAATTTTTTAATGATGAACTGGCAAAAATCCGGTCTTGCTCGACCGGTTTTAACTTTTTGTCCGGTCTTGTCTGGAATGGTTCCAACTCTGCTCTGTATGACATCTGTCCAAATCACTGCTCTCATTCTATTCAATAACATTCCTGTCTAATAAATTGAAAATCAGAAGATTGTAAATGTATAACACTTGCATAGAGTGTACAAATTAATCCACATGCTCCAATAGTTGACCAAGTGTTGAGCCCGGTTACATGACTTAAAGCCAAACGGTGTCCATATAGGTTAACAACCATGAAAAGAATCTTTACAAAGACACAATTTTGATTTCTTTTATGTTTTATTTTTTACTTACCATTATTAAAGTGAAATT